AACAGGAACAAGACAAGGATGCCCTTTATCATCACTCCTATTTAACATTGTGCTGGAAGTCCTAGCTAGAGCAATAAGGCAAGAAAAAGAAATAAAGGGCATCCAAATTGGTAATGAAGAAGTTAAACTGTCCCTATTTGCAGATGATATGGATACTATATATAGAAAACCCAAAAGTCTCCACGAAAAAACTACTGGAACTAATAGAAAGATTCAGCAGAGTAGCAGGACACAAGATAAACATACAAAAATCAGTTGGATTCCTATACACCAATACAGAGAAAGGAAATCAGGGAAACAATACCATTTATAATCACCCCTAAAAAATAAAATACTTAGGAATAAATCTAACCAGGGACATAAAAGACTTATACAAAGAAAACTACAAAACACTACCGCAAGAAAACAAATGACAGCTACATAAATGGAAAAACATACCATGCTCATGAATAGGTAGACTCAATGTTGTGAAAATGTCAATTCTATCCAAAGCTATCTATAAATACAATGCAATCCCTATCCAAATACCAACGGCATTCTTTAATGACATGGAGAAACTAATCATTAACTTTATATGGAAAGGAAAGAGGTCCCAGATAAGTTAAGCACTACTGAAAAAAGAATACAGTAGGAGGACTCACACTACCTGACCTCAGAACGTACTATACAGTTATGGTAGTCAAAACAGCTTGGTACTGGTATAACGACAGACATAGTGACCAGTAGAACAGAATTGAGAACCCAGATGTAAATCCATCCACCTACGGTTACCTGATCTTTGACAAAGGCCCAAAGTTCATTAAACTGGGGAAAAGATAGTCTTTTTTTAACAAATGGTGCTGGCAAAACTGCATGTCCATCTGTTAAAAAAAAATGAAACAGGATCCATACCTTATACCGTACACAAAAAATAATTCAAAATAGATCAAAGGCCTAAATACAAAATCAAAAACTACAGTAGAAAAAATAGGGTCAATGCTAGAGGCCCTAATACATGGCACAAATAGGATACAAACCATAATTAACAATACACAAACACCAGAAGATAAGCTAGATAACTGGGATCTCCTAAAAATTAAACACTTAGGCTCATCAAAAGACTTCACCAAAGGAGTAAAAGAGAACCTACGGACTGGGAAAAAAATTTTGGCTATGACAAATCTGACAAAGGTCTAACCTCTAAAATCTATAGGAAAATCCAACACCTCTACAACAAAAAGACAAATAATCCAATTAAAAAATGGGCAAAGAATATGGACAGACACTTCACCAAAGAAGACATTCAGGTGGCTAACAGACACACAAAGAAATGCTCACGATCATTAGCCATTAGAGAAATGCAGATCAAATCTACACTGAGATACCATCTAATCCCAACAATGCTGGCACTAATCCAAAAAACACAAAATAACAAATGCTGGAGAGGTTGTGGGGAAATTGGAAGTCTTATGCCCTACTGGCGGGAATGTAAAATGGTACAACCACTTTGGAAAACAATATGGCACTTCCTTAAAAAGCTAGAAATAGAAATACCATACGATCCAGCAATCCCACTTCTAGGAATATACCATAAAGAAATAAGAGACATCACACGAATAGATATATGCACACCCATGTTCATTGCAGCATTATTCACAATAGCAAAAAGGTGGAAACAACCTAAGTTGTTTCCCATCAACAGATGAATGGATAAATAAACTATGGTATGTACAAACAATGGAATACTAAGCAACAATAAAGAACAATGATGAATCTTCGAAACATCTCACAACACGGATGAATCTGGAGGACATTATGCTGAATGAAATAAGTCAATCACAAAAGGACAAATATTGTATGAGACCACTACTGTAAAAACCCATGAAAGAGTTCACACACAAAATGTAACAATCTTTGTTGGTTACCAGGGATGGGAGGGGTGGGGGGAAATACTAAATAGGCAATAGATAAGTGGTATCTTTGGTGAAGGGTAAGACAGTACACAATACTGGGGAAGCCAGCACAACTTGACCAAGGCAAGGTCATGGAAGCTTCCTAGATACATCCAGACTCCCCAAGGGACCGAATTGCTGGGCTGAGGGCTGGGGCCCATGGTCTTGGGGGACATCTAGCTCAACTGGCATAACATAGTTTATAAAGAAAATGTTCTGCATTCTACTTTGGTGAGTAAAATAGACTTTAAAACCAAATCCACCACAAAAGAAAAAGAAGGGCACTATATCATGATTAAAGGGATGATCCAGCATGAAGACATAACCATAATAAATATCTACACACCCAATGACAGGGCTCCAAAATACATAAAACAAACTTTAACAGCACTGAAAAGAGAAATTGACAGTTCCACAATAATAGTAGGGGACTTCGACACACCACTCTCGGTAAAGGACAGAACGTCTCGAAAGAAACTCAACAAAGATACAGAAGATCTAAAGGCCACCATCAGCCAACTTGAACTCATAGACATATATAGAACACTCCACCCAACAGCCGCAAAGTACACATTCTTTTCCAACTCAGTTGGCATAACATAGTTTATAAAGAAAATGTTCTACAGCCTACGTTGGTGAGTAGCATCTGAGGTCTTAAAAGCTTGTGAGCGGCCATCTAAGGTACTCCACTGGTCCCACTCTGTCTGGAGGAAGGGGACCCCGTCTGGAGCAAGGGAGAATGAAGACAACCAAAGACACAAGGGACTAATGGACCACAACTACCACGGTCTCAACCAGACTGAGTCCAGCACAACGAGGTAGTGCCCGGCTACCACCACTGACTGCTCTGACAGGGATCACAACAAACGGTCCCGAACAGAGCTGGAGATAGATGTAGAACAAAATTCTAACTCACACACAAAAAGACCAGACTTACTAGTCTGACAGAGACTAGAGAAACCCTGAGAGAATGGTCCCCTAGACACCCTTTTAACTTAGTACTGAAGTCACTCCTGAGGTTCACCCTTCAGCCAAAGGTTAACCCTTCAGACAGGTTCATAAAAAAAAAAGAGACTAAATGGGCACACCAGCCCAGCGGCAAGGACGAGAGGGCAGGAGGGGACAGGAAAGCTGGTAACGGGGAACCCGAGGTCGAGAAGGAGAGAGTGTTGACACGTCGTGGGGTTGGCAACCAACGTCACAAAACAACATGTGTATAAATTGTTTAATGAGAAACTAGTTTGCTCTGTAAACCTTCATCTACAGTACAATTTTGGGAAAAAAGAACACTAACGCTTTTTAAGTAAAAGGAAAAATTCCTCCATTTTTCTCCCTCACTTTCACCTACTCCCACTCTCCAGAGCTGACTGGTGCTAACATTTTGGTGAGCATCATCTCAGATATCCCTCCAACCAACACACATCCACACAAAGACACACCGTATATATCTGGCCTACGTTACACTTAACTCTTTATAAATAACTTCACACCCCTCCCATTTCAGTTTTGAAACTTCTAAAGCTCACTCAACAAATGATTTAGCAACAGTTAAGAAATCACGAGTTCCCTTCTTCCCAAGTAAACTTCTGCAAACCACATGATAGGTTCTGCTGATGGTAAAGCGCTAATTTTAGGAAGTTAGCAGTTTCTTTTCTCTGCATGCACCTCCTGCCTACAGGGTACCAACTCTACAACGCTGCAGGCTTTGCAGGCAGAGAGTAGAAAGGACATCAGCAGAAAAACGGTAAGCCACTTCTATTCTTTTAACAAAGCTTTACGACAAAATGTGAATTCTCACACAGAAATATGTCTTGGTGACAAATGGTGCTAACAAAGAAAGTAATGAGTAGGAAAATAAATATAAAAATGTTCTGTATTGAAATAAATCTAAATGTAGATAAAACGGCTTGGGACGCTCTTCGATTTGTGTGCACGTTAATACAACCTAATCGTTGTTGCTGTTAGTTGCCCTCAAGTCGGCTGCAATTCGGGGTGATCCCAGGTATAACAGAACGAAACAATGCCAGGTCCTAAGCCATCTTTTCGAGCAATATTCTGTTGTGATCCATAGGGTTTTCATTGGCTGATTTTCAGAAGTAAGATGGCCGGGTCTTTCATCCTATCCTGTCTTAGCCTGGAAGCTCTGCTGAAACCTGTCCACCATGGGTGACCCTGCTGGTATTTGAAATACCAGTGGCATAGCTTCCAGCATCACAGCAGCACGCAAGCCACCACAGTGCAACAAACTGATAGACAAACTAATTAGGTGGGACAGTTTGAAAATCAAATGCAGTAGCAGTCCTGTTAATTTGAACAGGAAAACAAGAAAATTCCAAATTAGAATGGAATGTCAACATCCATCTAAGATACACTGGAATGTTACTTTCTGGCCCTGCCAGAGACTATATTTTCTTCTAGAGCAATACGGTTGGAGCTGAAGACGGAGGAGAAGTATTTTTCCTTTGCTACCTCTGTAGAAAAGGGCAGAGTCTCTCGTCTCACATACATGGGTCAGTTACTAGTGTCTAGGGGAAGCTGGAGCTTAATATATAATTGAAAGCTTACAGATCAATATTAATTGTTACTTTTCTTGCTCAGAGTTTTTAAGTAACATGGTACTATTTCTGTAACTACAATCCTATAGTGCCTAGATAATAGCAGTTTTTGTTATTGTCAAGAGCTGTCAGATTAGAATCGGCAAATGCACAGAAATCAAAGTCTATTAGTGGTTACCAGGGGCAGGTGGGAGAGGGGAAGAGGGGAGTATTGGTTAAGGGGTGCAGAATTTCTGTTAAAGGTGATGAAAAAATTGGAAATGGGTAGTGATGACGGTTGTACAACATGGTGAGTGTAAATGTCACTGAATTGTACATGTAAAAATGGTTGAAATGGCAAATGTTTTGTTATATAGACTTCACCACAATAGAAATTCAAAAAAGAACTGTCAGATTGATAAACTTTACAATTATTTGTAAGTGATATATTTTCTAGAAAATTCATCGCTTGAAAAATCTGATTTCAAGAGAATCTCATCCAAAACGTACCTTACATATTTTTTAAAGACTGTGGAGTCATTTGTTTTACAATCATTGCATGTAGATTCTTGAAGTTAATTTCTTACAGCCATTTAACGCCCATTATAGATCTCGGAGGTAAATTAATTCTGCACTCAAATTTTATGATGCTTTACAAAATGACTGCAAGGGCCCAGTGACGCAGACGGAATTGTATCTTGAATCTACTTGATATTTGTAAACTGCTGTGATAGCCAATATAAGTGCATTATAAGAGAGGGGGAAATAGAATAACAATAAAATCAAACCAAACTTGGCAATATGGCCCACCTTCCTCCCATTGGAGCCCTGGTGGCGCAGTGGTTAAGAGCTCAGCTGCTAACCAAAAGATCAGCAGTTCCAACCCACCAGCTGCTCCTCAGAAACCTTATGGTGCAGTTCTACTCTGTCCTATAGGGGCTGCTATGAGTCGGAATCGACTTGACGGCAATAGGTTTGGTTTGGTTTTGGACTCCCTTCCATTGGAGGCAGGTGGAGGCCAGGGACCAAGGAGACGGCTGGCCTCAGAGCCAAGGTTCTCAGCTTGGCTACATATGGGAATCATGGGGGAACCTTTAAAAGTCCTGCTGCCCAGGCTGAACCCCAGACTGATGAAATTAGAATCTCTGGGGGTGGGCCTGGGCATTGTTAGCGTTCAAAATGCCCAGGTGTCTCCAGTGCAGCCAAAGCTGATAATCAGTGCTATAGAGCAACAGATGAACAGTTCTGTTCTGTCATTAAAGAACCCAGTCCTTTATTTGGGGTTGGGGAGGCTCTGGGGAGACCTGAAGCTTATTCATTAGCCCCTTTGTTATGGATTGAATTGTGTCCCCCAGAAATATGTGTTGTAAATCCTAACCTCTATGCCCGTGGTTATAATCCCATTGGGGAATGGGCTGTCTTTGTTATGTTAATGAGGCAGGATTAGTGTAGGGTATGTTTTGAGTCAATCTCTTTTGAGATATAAAAGAGATTAAACAAGCAAGTGAGTGAGCAGAGATGGGGAAAGAGAGATGCCAAGCCACATGAAGATCGTCCAGGAGCCGAAGCTCAAAGAGACAAGGACCCGACAGAGAGAGAAAGCCTTCCCCTAGAGCCAGCACCCTGATTTTGGGCTTCTAGCCTCTTTAAAGTGTTAAAAAGCAAAGGTGTCACTTTGAGGACTAAGGTGTGCCTGATCCAAGCCATGCCTCATATGCATGCAGAACATGGACAATGAATAAGGAAAACTGAAGAAGAATTAATGTCCCTGGAGAAGGACATCATGCTTGATGAAGTAGAAAAAAGAACCCATTGCTGTCAAGTCAATTCTGACCCATAGCAACACTATAGGACAGAGTAGAACTGCCTCACAGGGTTTTCAAGGAGCGTGGCTGGTGGATTTGAACTGCAGACCTTTTGGTTAGCAGCCAAGCTTTTAACCACTATAACCACTGTACCATCAGGGCTCCTGATAATGTAGAGGGTCAGTGAAAAAGAGGAAGACCCTCAATGAGATGGATTGACACAGTGGCTGCAACAATGGGCTCAAACATAACAATGATTGTTGAGGATGGCGCAGGGCTGGGCAGTGTTTCGTTCCGTTGTACACGGGGTCGCTATGAGTCAGAATCGACTCAATGGCACCTAACAATAACAGCCTCTTAAATGGTAAGAAAATAAATTTCTGTTTGTTAAAGCCACCCACCTGTGGTACTCTGTTACAGCAGCACCGGATAATTAAGATGCCCTTGATTTGATTTCAGGAAGCAAAATAAAAGCTCGAAGTATGCTTTACCTGAGAAGCTGAGGCTGTGGATAAGGGTAAGTGTGGTTGATGACATTCATTCTCTTCCTTCAATCACTGCTTCTCATCGTTCCATATAACAATCCTAAAAACTGCACAGAGCTCCTGAGAGAGAGGTCTCATGGAAAATTGCAGACTTACAGAGAGTCAGGGTATCTCATGGGGGAGAATGTTATTACCATGTCCTTGAAACTCAGTGGCTCTTATTTGCAAGTGTGCCTTAGGGTCACTTCCAGGGTCCATTAAGGGGAACATCATTCTAATGAAATGTCTTTTGAGTTCAACTTAGTTATTAAATGGAGTTGAGGGGTTAGTTTTAACCAAACCCATTGCCATCGAGTCGATTCCAACTCATAGCGACCCTGTAGGACAGAGTAGAACTGCACCGTAAGATTTCCAAGGCTGTAAATCATTACAGAAGCAGACTGTCACATCTTTCTCCCACTGATGGATTCGAACCACCAACCTTCCGGTTAGCAGCCAAGCGCTTAACCACTATGCCACCAGGGCTCCTTAGTTTTAACCAGTAGCCCCAATTTATGACTACTCAGGGCCATAAAGCCATAGTAAATTGAAATGCATAACCCGTGGTCCTGGGTTGGCAATAGCAAACACGGGCTGTTTTGGCTCTTCAGATTTCCAGTTGTTCTAAGGGATGACAGAGAATCTTATTTTCTGTGATAGCCTGTTCAGTGCAGCAGGGCAAGATGAAGAGTCCACCATGGCATTTGAGTCCTAGATGTTCCAGGTATGGCTATGGTATCTCTGCTGATAATTGAAACAGATCACTGGCTGCCAGCGCCTTCGTTCCAGCTCTCCCAATGCCTTAACTACTCAGGTAGATCCAGGATCCGTGTCAACTCTGCCACCTACTGGCTGAGTGGCATTGGGCAAACTAGCCTCTCTGAGCCTCAGTTTCCACGTCTGTAAAATGAGCTTATGATAGCACCCACCGCGTTGGTTTTTATAAGGATTAAATGTGAAAATCCATGAAAAGCACTCACCCCGGTGTTCACCTCCTAGTAAAGCCCTCAGTGGGTGCTTCCTACCACATTTGCTGGAATCCCAACTGCATAATGTTTGATACTTTAAGGTATATGAAATCAGGATCCGTGTTTTCACTGATATGTGCATTTGGCATGGCGTGTCTTCCAAAGCTGTTAAACCGATCAAATTTGGAATGGAAGAAAGAAAGTGCCTAGTAGTAATTGTACATTTCCCCTAAGGTGACAAATCCTATTTACACAACTCTCCATTTCTTAATTAATTTGCTTTTACATCACTTGTCAATGCCATCAATCGCAAATGAATCTATTTAAAATGAGAAATATTGCCAGCTTGGTAGAACATCAGTTCTGGTTTAATCCCACATTTATGCCCAAATAGCTCATTAGTTCAACTGGGGGCAGGGATTAATCGCATTTTATAATCAATACGTTCTCTTGTCTCTTTAGTGTCGGGGATATCAGCAGGACATCAGCATCCTGCTGGCCTGAGGCAAATCACACCTCCTCAAAAGGAAATCTGGCTGACCTTGAGGGATGATACCTTTAAAGAGGGAGAACAAGGGGACATCATGCAAAATAGCTGCTTGAAGCCTAGGGGGGGAAAAACCCAGTTGCCGGTCAAGTGGACTCTGACTCATGGGGACCCCGTGCCGTGCGTGTCAGAGCAGAAATATGCTCCATAAGGTTTTTAATGGCTGATTTTTTTGGAAGTAGATTGCAGGCCTTTATTCCAAGGCACGTCTGGGTGGACTCGAACCTCCAGACTTTCAGATAGCAGCCTAGGGTGTTACTGTTTACACCATTCAGGGACTCCACAGTCTAGGAAGAGGGTGGACAAAGAGAAAAAGCTGTTCATTCCGGGCAGGCGGCTTTCGGCCCCTCCCAGATCCCCTGGTGTGAGGTTGTGTAAGAAAGCCTGCGCAGGATCGCTCTAAGCGTTACCTGGTGGTGCTGCTTCCTTTGCACTCAGCCATCACTCCACAGCGGGCTGGACTCTGGGGTGGCCCCTCACTTCCCTGACTCTCAGGGAGTCCTCAGCTAAGGCAGCTCCCCTGAGCTGCTCTCCAAAATGGCACTGATCCTTATCAAGCGCGGGCCCATTGGGGTCCAATGTGAGAGGCAGATGAGGACAAGGCCTGAGAGGGGTTGTTTTCATCGTGGTACTTGGTTCCTGGAGAACCCGCAGGACAGAATTGTCTTGTCGTGTGTCCTGGGCGCATCCAAAGAACTGATTTTGCCCGGAAAATAGGAAAACAGTTGTGAAACCACTTCCTGGGCAGCTAGCAATAGCTGTATTTGGCGGGGAGGCGGGAAGTTAAGCAAATTTCTTTGTTTCGCGATTCATATACTTTCATAAAAGAAATACGTTCTGGTTTTGTTTTTTCTGAGTGCTCCCAGGCAACACCCCGTGCAAGCTCTGGATCGCGCAGATCCGCTCCTTGCTACCAGGTTTTCTGTGCAGTGAGCTCACCGGCATGTCCAGGCAAAAGGACTTTTGCTGGTGTGAAAAATAATCACAACTCACGGGAATTTGTACACGGGGTTTATTCTGAGCAGTTATTCTATATGCATATCAAATCTGTTGCCTTCTCGTCGATAGCGACCCTATAGGACAGAGTCGAACTGCCCCATATGGTTTCCAAGGAGTGGCTGGTGGTTTACGGACTGCTGACCTTTGAGTTAGCAGCTCAGCTCTTAACCACTGCGCCACCAAGGCTATGTGCATGTAGGGAGGCCATTTTGATGCCAGCAAAAGCAACCGGCTGGAAGAAGCTAGGTACAGTGGGGCTTATGAAGAGAAGAGGAGGGCGAAATGTAGAAGATCAACCATTGGCCAATCTTAACATGATTGACTGAACCCTGCCTTCCCCTCTCTGCTGAGATCCACTGATATCAGGTTATTTGGGGCCTGGCTGCTAATCATTTGGCCCTCCACCCACCTATAGAGACTTTTTATGCTATTGAAATTAGGAAGTAATGGTTTGATGACTATCTTTTTCTAGCAGTATAAGACAAATTTACATTGCTATACAGCAGCTTCTGGCAGGCTTTTGCAATTTGGTTTGGGCTTTTCATGGTTGATATTTGGTTTCGGGGATAAGAAAAACTTTAAAATCACAGTTAGATACCTGTTAGGAATTTTTCTATTGAAAACCGGCAGCTCTAACTTGTCCCTGCAGGGGGTGCCAGTGAGCAACTTGATTCAGCTACTCTCAGCTCTTGTGGAGTCCTTGGGTGGTGCAATTGGTTAAGCACTCAACTGCTAACCAAAGGGTTGGGGGTCTGAGTCCACCCAGAAGCTCCTCAAAGAAAGTCCTGGCAATCTAATTCTGAAAACCCTATGGAGCACAGTTCTACTCTGACACACAGGGGGTCATTATGTGTCGGAGTCCACTCTTAACGTTTTTTAATTTTTTTCCCCCCAGCTCTTGTTGTTAGGTGCGGTCAGGTTGGTTCCGACTCATAGTAACCCCATAGGACAGAGTAGAACTGCCCCCTAGGGTTTCCAAGGAGCGGCTAGTGGATTCGAACTGCTGACCTTTTGGTTAGTAGATGAGCTCTTAACCACTATGCCACTAGGGATTTGTAACACATATTTTGGGGTGACACAATTCACCCATAACAGTCCCCAGTGAAGGAGATAAAAGTATAGATCGACGATCCCTTAGCTGAAACCTGTGGGCCAGAATGGTGTCAGAATTCAGACCCTGTATTTTAGCAAGATAATACGGTACATATACCATACATTACAAAACACGTCCAACAGGTCTTTGGCAGCACGGCTACTTTTGCAGGGACATGGAATGCTCCCACTAAATGGTAAATAAAGATCGGAACACCCTTAGGTCCGTTCAGACCAGGTTTAGCTGCTAAATAAGCTGCCAAAGACAAAACCAAACCAAACCTTTTAGGATTTCAGAATCGCAGAGATGGGTTGGAAGACCTGCCTTAAGAAAATAAACCATAAACCACTGTCGCGGGAGCCAGAAGGCCTGATTCTACCCATTGCTGTTCCTCTGGTGGTTGTTTTCTGCTGGCCTGCTTCGATCTCTGTCTTTCATGTTGGATGAATTCCTTGAGTACCTGGAGATGGCTGTTATTCCCTATTTAAGAGTGGGGCACCAAAGAGCTGATTTAAAAAAAAAAACACACCAGTTGCCGTGGAGTCGATTCCGACTCATCAGCTCTGATTGCAATGGGCAGAGCTTGCTAACTGATAAGTCTCATCACAGGAGGAGTGGGGTTGAGTCGGCTTTTTGGTTAGGGTGTGCCCCAATGTCATCTGAAGATCTTTTCTGTTGTGCAGGGTTGGGACTAGGGTGAGGCGAAGCAATCTCCTCCAGTGCGAAATTTAAGAGGCCACCAAAAAGCTCAGGATTCAGGAGAAACAATATTTTAATATGATGCTTAACAAAAGCATATCAGCAAACTATGATCTGTGGGCCGCTTGCCTGTTTTTATAAATAAAGTTTTATTGGACCCAGGGCTGAGTGAGGGTGAGGCAAGCGACGCCGGGTCGTATAAGTACAAGGTCAGATGTTGCCTTTATTCAAAACTTTGATGTGTTGTTCATCATGGAATGTGGTATTAATTTTGATTTTTTAAAGTATGTCATTAAAATATCATTCATCTTGATGACTGAGTATTTTGGTGCCCCCTTGCGTGTTGCACGCCAGGCGATTGCCTCACTCACCTCACCTTAGTCCTGGCCCAGCTGCTGTGCCAGTCCTTTTTCCCAGAAAGAGATCCACCAATCTCCTGCCTGGGGAGCTGGGCTGGGATGTTCATAAGTGGAGGGATGTCAGAGTTCCCAGAGCCTGTTTTGTCTTTGGCAGTTTGCCCCAAGCTTTCCTTTGTGCCTGTGGACCTGAGCCCAAGGCTCTTGGATTCAACTGTTGAAGAGAGTAAGTCTCGGGGAAGGGATGGGAGGGGGAATCTAACTTCTTCTGGCATGCCACCTTCCAAGGTGCCTGATGCCTCCAATTTCTGAGTCTTGCCAGGGTTCTGTGATGTAAATTCACTCTTCTCTGGCTGAACCTTGGGTTTCAGCCTTCTCTGCTCTGCTATGCCACCTACTGTTCATCTATGTGCTTTCCATCCTCCCAAACTTTGTTGACAATCTTTGTCTGCTGTTACCTACCCTGTGCCCTCTTTGATTTTGTAGACTTCTTCTACTCCTTTACTGTCACTTCCATGAGCCTTCAAAACAGAGTCAGGTTTAACCAACAGAAGAGTCTCTCTCTCATGGGTTCTCTATTTTATCTGGAGAGTAGCTGTTTCTTTTCCTCTTACTCCCTCCCTTCCCTCTTCTTTCTTTCCTCCCTCCCTCCCTTCCTTCCTCTCCCTCCCCTTTTCCTCCCTCCCTCCCTCCCTTCCTCTCTCTCCCTCCCTCCCTTCCTCTCTCTCCCTCCCTTCCTTCATCCCTCCCTCCCCGTTTCTCCCTCCCCCTTCCTTCCTTCCTCTCCCTCCTCTTTTCCTCCCTCCCTCCCTCCTTTTCTCCCTTTCCTCTTCCTTCCTCTCCCTCCCTTCCCTTTTCCTCCCTCCCTCCCTTTCTCCCTTTCCCCTTCCTCTCCCTCCCTCCCTTCCTTCTCCCTTTCCCCTTCCTTCTTCTCCCTCCCACCCTCTCCCCTTCCTCCCTCCCCTTTTCCTCCCTCTCACCCCCTTCCTCCCTCCCTCCCCCTTTGCCCCCCTCTCTCTTTCCCCTTCCTTCCTCTCCCTTCCTCCCCTTTTCCTCCCTCCCCCTTCCTCCCTTCCTCCCTCCCTTTCTCCCTTCCTTCCTTCCTCCCCTTTTCCTCCCTCCCCCTTCCTCCCTTCCTCCCTCCCTTTCTCCCTTCCTTCCTCCCTCCCTTTCTCCCTTCCTTCCTCCCTCCCTTTCTCCCTTTCCCCTTCTTTCCTCCCTCTCCCTCCCTCTCCTTTTCCTCTCTCCCTCCCCTCTTCCTTCCTCCCACTCTCCTTCCCTTCCTTATTTTTAACACACACGCATCTCAAACAGATTTACTATTTTTTTTTTTTTTAAGGAACAGATTTTGAGGAAAGAAAAAACACAAGGCAGAGGAAAAGTATGGACTAGAAATAAACACAAATATAAGCTGTGGTGCTCATTGGTTTTTACTACAACTAAAGACTACAGAGAATGCCCCCATCCAAAATAACACAAGTTTAAGAGATGTAGGCATTCTCTCAACAAGGCCAGAAGATGGTAGTCTCTGGTGTTTGGAAGTTAGGCCCCAGTTCTTATTTTCAGATGATTTTGGGCACGTGGAGAATCTATGCTTTAACCGGATTTAAACAGAAGAATGGCAACTGGGCCAAAATACAGGTAGATGAAATGCTTGGTTTCGTGTGTGACATAACTACCAAAGTTTCTACCCACGACGCAGTGCCAGATGGGGCCATACTTCCTGTCAAACTCCTTCTTGATGTGGGCAGCGATGTCTTTCTCAACGCTGAACCTGTCCTGGGCTTGGGACGCACACTCTATCGCGTCTTCCTGCATTCCTTCTGACATGTCCACGTTCTTGATCACGACCCTGCGACCCAACACGGCTCCCGATGTTGCAGGGAAAGGTGGCACAGGGCTTCTGGCGGCAGGGAGCGGGCCGGAGGGCTGGCTGGGAGCTGCCGTGTTGTCTGAAGTTGGGGCACATCTCGGGGCAGGGAGCGGGCGGGAGGACTGTCTGGGAGCTGCCGTGTTGTCTGAAGTTGG